CAGCAACTTCAAATAAAAACAGCAGTGTGTGTGGTCAATTCCTGGTCATCAATTTGTAGACAGTGTGTACTTCTGAATTTCTGTCAAGTTGGGTTTATGTCACTACAGCCTTCGTTTTCAAAGTAAGCATAACATCATGTTTCAGTGTACTAACAACTAAGGATCAGGTTGTCAGTACTAGGCCCACTTTTCCCCCAGCAAAAACACTTTCTGCAGCAGACTGAGGGAAGGATGAAAAACAACTTGTTGGTAACTGGTATGGGAGCCAAAAAACACAGTGGTTGACTTGCAAATAAAGTGATGGTGAAAAGGTCAGTACTAGGGGTCTGGCCATTGAGATGGTGTTATTTACAATGAAAATTGGATTTTATTAATTTCTGTTGTGCTGCAGGTGCTGAAAACCATTTAGGAAAATGTGAACAATCGCTTTTAATATTGTAAAATGAACGGGACTTGAACTTCGTTACGTGTAGGGAAGAAGACTGTATTTTAGGTTTATGATGAATGTACATGATACCTTGGGGATGAAATCATAACTACTTCTGGGGAAGAAGAACCAAGGCCCAGAAACAGATATGAATTTTCAAGGAGTTGTCAGCTGAGTGTGTTTTGGCAGCTTGACCACATCCGTGGTGCAGGATGATTTGCTGGGAACATACTGGAACAGTGCATTCTGTGTAGCTGTAGTGTTTCAGTTCGTTTTCAAAGCTGGGTGTGTGATGTGAGCGAAACCTCATAGTAGTGCTGTTGGTTTTTTTTTTTCTCCTAAGGTAGATGCCCAGTCCTCATTTATTCAGCTGTACCATTCAGTGTACTAGGGATGTACAGGAGTGTTACGTGGAAGGGTTTGTCTTGGTAACACCGATCCATTTTTCCAGAAGTTGTCCCTTTTAACAGTCGTGTTCTTGCTTTGCAGCTAGTGTTGATTGGCATTGCAGCAGAAGTTTCAGTGTTGTCAGGAGTTATTCCAGTTAATGGAGAAAGAACTTGTTTATCAGCAGTAAAATTAACAGTATATAAATAGCTGTGTGACTTGCCTGACAGTGCTGTGAACATATTTGGGGACCATATAGTTACAAACTATGTGTGACCTCCCATGTTGCTTCACTGTATGAAAAAGTATGACTGGGGGAAAGTCCTAGACAATTGCTGTTACCAGTACCTCCCTTTCCCTCCTTATTTGGTCTGCTTCCTCTTGGTTTATTTTGGGGCATTCATGTGTGAAAGTGAGTGGCTGATGCACTTAATGGAGTTCTAGTAGCTGTGTAGCAGGTGTCAAGTTGCAGCACTTTTACGAGGTACCTACAGTGATAAGACTTCACATGGTTACATGTGCCATCTCTGATTGGTTTATTTAATAAATAGTTTTTCACTACAAACTGGTGTTGAGTGTCCTGTTGCCTCATTTATAGGCCTCTGCTAACTCTCCTCAAGATTCTTGTTAATACTGTACTTATGACTCCCATAAGATACAAATGTTGTGTGTGTTTTGGGACAAAGATTGACAAACTGATATGAAGGTGTTTTGTCTCGTATTTCCTCATTGAAATTTTTTTTCTGGTTCTTCCCTCTATAACTAGATTGTAAGCTCTTGAGCAGGAACAGCCTTAGCTCGTAAAATTTGGCTTTGTAAAAAGCCAAATCTGTTGAACAAAACCAAACCCGTGAAGCTAAAGCTACACTTCAGTGCGGTGCTGTAGTGGTCATTCGAAGCGTTTGTAGTGTTGGAGCTATATGCTGTGACTCCTCAGGAAGGGCTTGTCTGCAGGATGCCTCTGCAGGAGTGTTCAGCCTTACATGTCATAAACCATACGGTGCATATTGCAGTCTAATAAAGTACGTGGCTCGCATTTGTTTCTGGTTGGATGTTTTTCCTGAAAGGTGTGGATCTAAGAGCAGCCAGCAGGTAATGCTCTGTAGTGCCCAAGCATGTTGCTTCCAGCAATAACAGAAGTAATATATATGCATTGTGATATCCCCACCACTCACTGTTTTTTCTTTATATATAATCTGACCTTTTCTACCTTGAAGATAATTTCTTACTTTTCACTATTAATGTAATGAAAAATGTAGTGTACCCGGAAGTGTTACAGGCTACATAATAGCTTTACCATGGAAACGATACTTTAATGACTAGTCCCACGTTGACATTTCCATTTTTTTGTTGCTGTATCAACAGCTACATTTACAATCCTCAGCTTTGCAGTGTTCTAATGTTTTTATTGTTCCTGTGTCAGAGAGTTGCTTTTCTACATAGTAAGGTAGGATGCAGCCTTAATAGCTTTTTACACACCAGGTTCGATAATCCATCATATGTTTTTACATAATAAAGTTCCTGACTTGTATACTTTAGGTTTTGGTTTCTTGAAAGTTAAGATCTATCAATAATGAAGCCAGGACAGACGTCAGTCAGGTGTTACCCACCTTTTACAACCATTTCAGTAGCAAGGTTCTGTTATCAGTCTTCCTGAATAGCTCTGTAAGTCCTGTACAGTATCGCATTTTTTGTATATGGGTTGCAAATACAGACTAAGGCCATTACAGGAAGTGTATTAAAAGCTTCAGGCTGTCTGGCCTAACCACCAATCATTTAAGGATGTGAAATTGTAAGGCATAATCAAGACTGAGCAATGTTTGGGACTTGGTTGCTTTGTTTGTTTTTTTCTTTAAACCTAGGCTAGCTGCAGAAGGGGAAGACACTTCAAAAGCTAACACCAGTTGTTAGGTAATATTAATGGCAGTTTACTCAAGCTATAAAAACAGGACATTGGTCTGAATTCTGCTTACAGTTTTGTCTGTTCTGTGGGCAGATAGTTGAATGTTTAAGAAAATCGTGCAGTACATCCAGACCTAATGCTCAGTATCTGTGTCAGTGCTGTTACAGTCCACTCACAATTGGTCTTTTGCCTAAGAGGTTTTTGTAAGGGTATAGTAGCTAGTTGAATTCTGAGAAATTGAGATTCACATATACATTTATTGAACAATAACGAGGGTTGAGTTAGTTGAGGGCAGTAACTGTTTCCCAGTTGGGTGTATGTCATATTAGCAGCTGGCTTTTTAAGAGTCCATAGAGATTACCTGCCACTGCTACTGAAGGAGTGGGCACCAAAAGGCTTAGCCTTTTTTACTTACTTTTTTTTTCCCCTGCCCTTGTGAGGCCCCAAAACAACTACTTGGCTTTCTGGATTTATCAGTTATGAGCCTAATCTAGTATCAGAATTTGTGCACATGAAAAAAGAAATAGGCTTAAAGGCCTAGTCCTGCAAAAGGTAAGTGCATGGACTTTCAAATGCTTATTATGTCATTTAATTAAGAGATTAAAATCCCGCTGACTCAAACATGTACCTTTTCCCCCTGCCGCTAGAAGTAAAGTTCACAATTCATCATATGTTTCTGGTACCTACTGCATGTTTTGGTTGAAGTTGGTGATCTAGCTATTAGATGAATTCCTTGTGAATACCATTTAGGATAGATATGCTTCACACTGCTGCTTAACAAATTTCATGGCCTCACTAATGAGACTTTTTGCTATGAATTTACGCTATGAATTTGAGGCTGTGGTGAAAAAAATAACAGATGCACACATTTATTTGAAAGAAATCTTTTAATATAAAATGCTAAGCAAATTGTTCAAACATGCTGATTTCATTATTGATAATCCAGTGCCCTTGGCACTGAGTCAGTGCTCCTTTTTTTAGAAAATATCATTTGATAGACTATCAGTTTGCTTAAACATAAGTGCAAGCAACCAACATGATTTAAGGGTAGTTTTTTTCAAAAGGTATAATTTGGCATTTAAGCTTGTATATGTAGTTCTTATGTGTTTGGTACAAGCAATTTTTTAACATACCTGACTGTAAATTTGCTCCATTGTCATTATGCCATGACCAATGAGAATTTTTTTTTAATACCAATTTTATGTTTTGCTTATAAAATATATAAAAATTTATTTGTGCTATCTAGATGTTAATATTTATTTTCATACCTTAGAGACTACTATACTTCAATATTCTTTCCTAGTCATTCATTACATGCCTTTTAGGCCATCTCTTTTTGCAACCTTTTCAGGTTGTAAAATAGTAAAGGACAGGATGTTGTGATTAGGTGTGTGAGTGAATAAAATGTCTTCTTTTTCATAGCACAAAGACAGAAATGTCCAAACCAAAAACTTCATTCACAGTGCTATCAGTGTAAACTCATAGTCACAAGTACAGATAAACAGTAATTTGGGTCAATTTAATTTACTTTAAAGATTAGGGAAAATATTTAAAAAAATAGTCTGTAACATTGACGACATTAAAAAATACCAGTTTAATAAAGCCAAAAAGAAAAACTCTAGTACTTCTCCTTGAAGGTATCAAATGGTGGGAAAAGGGAAGGTGCACAAGTAAATATATCCCAGTCACTAGGAAGCAGAATGGGAACTTGTTCACCATCAGTTGTTTTCATGAAAGAAAGCTGAGAATGATTCAGTTGCAGTAGATGAAGGTAAGACAATACTGAATCAGACACTTTTTCAGAATCTATTTGCAGATTGATCATTTGAGTTGTAAAATTAATTGGTACATTATCTTTGCTTGAAGCTGTGATGATGAAAGCAGTGAGGAAAAATACAGTAGCCTCCTGGGCCTCTCTTCTCAAGGGAAAACTAGGAAAAGCAGAACAGTTCTGAACAAATGCGAAGCAGAGATTATGTCTTGAGAATATGGGAATCCACAGTGAATTTAAGTTAGAGATGCACTAGAGCTACAATTTTTCTTTCAGTGCTAGAGAATAAAATAAGGTCACTTTCTGTATGAAGAATCAAGTACTCAAGACTAAAACACATTTTTCTTGCATGTCTAACTTTGATCTAAAGCTGGCTTTTATCCCCCCACTGATGTTCTCCCCTCTCCCCCCATCACCAGCAACGAAATTCCTAGTTTTAACGTAGGTATATAAAACTACACCTATACTGATGGGCTAGCTCCTTTAATTCTGACTAAAACTCTGATGACTTTCTAACAGATCCCAGTCAGGTGAGTTTGACAGACCTTTGAATATGAAGTGTTTCTCCTCAAGTGTAGTTGTTTCTGTTTGAACTACTGTAATCACTGACCTCCAGTTTTCACACAAGTCTCCCTGTTCTTCCATGCAAAATAAAACCTAGTTGATCTTCAGCCATTTTATCTTTGTTTCTGCGCTTTTGCAGTATCTTGTTTCTGTTCAGATTTGACCAAGTGTTTGGGTATTATGAAAGCACTACCATTATTACTGCAGTGAATGACATATTGGTGTGGGTTAACAGGTCTACCCTGGTCATCCCTCAGTCTACTGAAAATGTCACAGTACAAGTTATTTAATTTTTGCTTTATCTGGCTGATTGATCGGCTACACTGAGAGTGCTCCTTTCTAAGGCTCTCCTTTTGCGTTTGAAGATTACACACATCTTCTTCCAAGTCAAGAATTGCATTTAGTTTGCGTTTACGGCAATTTTGGGCAGCTACCTTGTTTTTTCCTCTTCGTCTGATGTCACGTAGAAGTGATACCTGAGTGTCTGTCAGCTGGTTCTTTGCTAGCATGGTGTTGAAAGAGTCGATGGGCATGCTCACAACTTCATCGACTGAAAACGGTATTTTCAGAGCTTTTGCAGAGCATTCATCACTACTATGGTTTGTATCAGTAGAATTATGGCACCTATCCTTTATATCGTTCGATTTCTTCATCCATGACTGTTGATGCTCTGGAGCAGATGCTCCTTGACTTGGCAGCTGATTATAAGTGTGGTTATGAAGAAACTGCTGAAGTGTGGCTTCTCTAGGACACTCTGCATCACCTGGATATTCCACATGGTCATATTTAGTGTTTTCTTGGCAATGGCCATCAACAGCTCCTATGCCATGTGAAGGAGCAGATTTAACACCCCTGCTGTACCCAACAGCATCTTCACAGCAGACTGAATAAGAGGTGGTACTGTGACTTGAATTCAAAGATAGTCCCAAATCTGAGCCAGACTCTTCAAAGATCTGAGAAATTTCTATAGGACCAAAGTCTTCATCCAAAGCCAAAGACGTGAGTTTAATTTCATCAAAATTATCATCATGGGCTGTTAGGTTTCTAAGGTCAACCGCTGAAACCAGCCCTGTCAAATTTGGCCCATGAAGTAGTGATTCTGGATTTGTGATATTAGAACTTGACTGAGGAAAAGACTCTTGCCTTTGTAAATGTCTTGGTTTTGAATTTGATTGAGTGGGGTAGTCTGTTTTTAGTAGCATGGCATCAGGAGGACTGAAATAGTCGTGAAGTGTCTGGGTCAAATTTATACTGTGGTGTAAGGATGATGGGTTTTGACCTCTACTAGAAGTAGCAACTTGTGTATCTTCCAGTAAGCTCACCTAAAAGATAATGGGGGGAAAAATGGGATCTTTATAAAATTAATGCCTCTATATCCCTCACCTGCACAGTCACAATCAATTTGTTTTTTAATAATCCACTATTTGACTCTATTAAAGCCAATTTTTTATATGTCAAACTCTTCTTCTAGCTATTCTGAATGCTGTTTGCCATCTTTACAAAGCATAACCTGTACTGGCATATGGCAAAAGGAAATGGGAAGGGTGCAGAAGTAAAATGACTTAAGGAATGGGAGAAGGACTTGCAAAGGACAGTGTGGGACTGATGAGTGTTGAGAGGTAGAAATGGGACTGTTGCCAAGTGTACATCAAACTACACTTGTGTGTTACACCTGATCTGGTCTAAGAAAAGGTCTTTCTTGGAGGAGTGGTCATGGCCTGTAATGGTCCAAGAAAGCTATCACAATCCCAGATATGGGGGCAAAATCTGGAATGATTTATTGAACAAGCAAGTGCTACTTAAGGGTCTCAGGGGCTTACATGCTAATGAGGAGGCAGAGTTATTCCAAACAGGGGTTTCCACAATCTATTAGCGTTTCCAGTAACAGGGGTGACATAAGGGGAAAAATGGATTTACATTTCTCAGATACAGTATTTACATTTTGGGGAAAAAGGTTTGATATTTCCAGTAAGCAGGGTTACATTGGGGAAGGGTGATCAGCTTTTACCCCAAAGAAGGATTTACACAGGGAGGGAGAAAACAATGGGAAATCTGACAGCATCATGCAAAGTCTCTCTACATGCTGCTGGGGGAGATCAGGACAATGGATCTTGTCTTGTCTGGTCTTTTAGATGGTGGTTTTTCCCCAGCCCCTGTGGCCCAAGGTTTCCTGTTTAATCCTATCAGTTCCTTTTGTTTTGGTATCCGAATTTCTGACTGCAACAATGGCCCTTCACTGGTAGTGGTATTGATGATTCAAGGGTGAGCTGGTTCAATCTGCTAACCTGCTAGAAAATTAACTTTTTAAAGAAGATAAATAGCTCAGTACAGAAGTTAACCAGTGAGAACACTGGTGAAGAAAAGAAGGGTGGAAGACAGGAACATTAGGATCTTGCTGTCACAGTCTCACTACTTTTCTCTCACAGTTTATAAAGCTTTGGGGGCTGTGAGGTGCCACATTTGGCTTAGCTCTTCTTAACTGATGTCTGTTGCGACCAGATTTCAACCAAATTCCTTTGTTAGTAAGTTTAGAGGAAACAGCTCCCCCAAGATCACACATTTTTTGGATGTCTTAGAACTTTACATTACCACTCACTTTTTCTTTACAAAAATAAAGCTGATGTGTGATCCCTCAGCCCTGAAGTCCAAACAGTAAACTGGACTGATAATGCTCCAGTAGCATTAAGGTCCACCTTTTCTGGCCTGAGTTATAGTTGCTGGGTTCTAGAAGTACAAAGCCACTGCCTGAGATTATGTCAGGGCACTTGCTGACAAGCAGAGTAGTCATATCCATAGATGGATACAAAATACTTGAGAATGTAAATACATTTAGTAGGAAGCATAAAGGATTCCTCCATCCTTAGTGTGTTGCAGGAAAGGGCTTTCAGATTGCCATTCATTGAACAGACAGTGTAAAAAGCACTTTGCACAGGGAAGGAATGATGTACCATAAAGACCAGAACATCTTAAAGTCTCTATTATCCTTACTAAGAGCTCAGGTAACCAAAGAAGGTCTTGCCTTATTTCTCCTAGGGAGTTACCTTGTACTAGACCCCCTGCAGAATAAAGACTTGATACCTGGAAGAAACAATCAATCCATTTTCAAGAGATAGATTGTCAGAAGATAGCACTGCATAAATAGTCTTAAATAAAATATGGAACTGTGTATTGTTAGAGCTGCATAAAGGCTACAGCCAAATTCCTTTCAAATTATGAGAATGAAGAAAACTAAACTGATGAACTTCTGCATCTTGTTAGCATGCAATCCATTACTAGAACTGAACAGAGGAGAAGACTAATTTCTGGGCTAGGAGGCACTATCCAACCTAGGGATTATCAAATCTAGGTAGTTATGTTCCCAAATCTATGAAGTTATATGGAAAACACTACTGACCCTGGGAGAGGCTCCTATGATGAAGTGGATGTAAGATGCCCTTGAAGTGTTGCAAAAAAGGAATGTAGAGAATAGCTTCATGGTTAATGATTGCAGCTATGAGCTGTGGGAGAGAAGGGAGACTCCAATTAAAATAACTACTGGGGTTTTTTTGTCAAGACAGGCACACAGAAAGTAAACAATAGTATCAGAAGGCCAGAAACTGAATGAGTTTGCTGCTAATGCTGACTGACCTGATTTGCAGTGAAGATGGGTCTGTTCTCCCTGAGGGTAGTGACCTTGTCAGCACATGACCCAGTATTTATGACAACTGTAATCTTTCACCACAAATGCTCAATAGCTGCTACTGTGTAATAACGCAGTGTTGCTCTAGAGAAACACACCAAGAGCTACTGTATAAATATGAAATGGCATTAGGTTTCAGAAAAGCAACTATTAGTTGAACTAATAGTTGTCCAGTGGCTCCATCCAACTTTGAACACCAGGTCACAGTACAGACAGAGCTCTGTAGCTTTCATATCCCAGACAAGTTCCTGGGGAAAATTTTTCAAGTAGAGCCAATGACAGCTGCTGTAAAAGGTGGATAGGAGCATCTTTAGCATCTTCAGGTAAGATTTACTACATTGATTTGCTGGTATATTCCTGGAGTGGGTGAGGTAGGCTGTGGTTATTAGATGAAACAGAATAAGTCATTACCCAGTAATTGCTGACTGTATTCCAATCTATCAGCAATACGTTTTTTTCTCATTTACCTCTAGCATGTTTTCCATCTGCGATGACAGAAGCTGTAAATAGCCCTCGAGGGAGAGAAGGGAATCTACATGGTTGCGGTTGCTCTGTGACAGAAGAAAGAGAAACATGTTGTAAAGGACAGTTATTTTACATAAAAGGAGGTAAAAATCACAGTCTGAGAGGAAACAGAGCACAGCTCTGTGAAATAATGCTGCTGACCCCATCATCAAGTCCTCATACTGATGGGAGATAACACGTTGCTAGAATTAGCAGAACAGCTCAGCTTTCACAAGGTCTCAAGAAGATTGAGTGCCCTTTTCATTGTAGCTCTCAGGGAGAACAAACCCCGAAATGCACAGAATCACAGTGTCCCAAATGGAATTCTACATCCAAGCATTAAGCTTTACATAAATGGTGAGAGCAGTATAATTTATCATCCATGTCTCTAGTGTTTGTAGGTAAAAGAAAACCCTTGCCCACAAGCACAACACCTTCATGATGGAGGAAATCAAACCAAATTGAAAAATGGTTATTTGCAAGTGTTTTTGTAAACTTTAGAATATTTCAACTACATAAACTATACTGGGGGGTAGAGAGGAGGAGGCAATTTTCAAGAAGGTACAAGGGCATCATTCACGAAGTATCCTCTAAAGTGACCATTCCTTTCCTGCCCTTGCAAGGGATATTCCAAATGAAAAGAGGAAATAAAATATTCCTTTCAAAAACCTTTAACTCCATTTCTTTTCACTTCTCCTTATCTTGATAAGGATATTTCCTCCCTCACTTTCTCTTCACAGTTTTCTCTTCTCCCACTTTTTTCATCATTTACTTGATTTATGTCTTTCTCCTCCTCCTCTTGCAGTTCCAGCTGATCATCTCCTCGGTGTGGACAGCAGTCATCCAAAGCTTCCTGACATGCTTTCAGATCAACATCCTGAAGATACAAACAAAACAGTTCTATTATGTAACACACTGTCAAAACCAATCTTTAAAATGCACTTTTTTCTTTTTTTCTACAGCATTTCAAATAAAATATACACTGAACAGGTCATGTGGATGAACTGACTGTGTGGACTTTGAGGGCAGAATGAGACCAGTGTCGGTTCAGCTGGGCAGCCACCACTGCCTATTCTGGTGCCTAGGCACTGAACCCATCTGCAGTAGAAATGGACACTGGAAACAAATTCTTCTAATACAGACATAGGATGATGTGATTTCATAAAAAGTTTGGGCTATCGATGTCATTTGTATGTCATTTCACAACAACATATCCAAGCCAAATATATATTCAATGCTGGAATTATATATGGCTGGTTAGCAAAATCCCTCATTTACATGTATTGTAATAGCTTCGCTTCACTACCCATTCCCATTTATCCAAATGATGAGGTTTTTTAATCTCTAGTGATGAAGTTGTTCAGATTTAGTGGTCTCAGAAGCAATCTTCAAGTTTTGTTTTATCTATAGTCATAGCATCAGACTTTTAAAATATTTATTATAGGGCTTGTATTGCTAGGGTAAGAAGGAATCAGTGCTAATTTATATTTTTTAAAAATGCATTTTTAAAAAATATGCTGATATTTCAGCTTTTATAGGGCAACTCTGTGTTATTAAAATGTGAAACTCAGTGGAATGGCAACCAGGAAACCAAGTGGCCACACTGTATTAGTTCCACATATTCCCAACAAAATGCTGTGGCAGGAGCAGAAAAGACAAGCTTTCAACAGCAGCAAACATAATGAGATGGTGTTCTGTTCTAAAAATCACAACAGATTTATTTACTTTACAGGTTTGATATGAAAGCGTAAACTTTATAAAAACTGCAGTTTTAATAGTCATCAAAACGTATAAGAGTTTTTAAATTATTGCTTCATACAAAACACACTAAAGATTAAATGTAAAGAGGTTTAAAAACAGGATATTGGAATAAGATTAAATATATTTTCAAAATAAATTATTATTTTCAATTTTATACATTCTATTTAAATATTTTAAAATATGAAAATTATTTTTATTTTAAACTGATTTTATTTTTTGCTTTCAATTTTTCTGAACTTTCTTTTCAAGATTGGAAGGGAACTTTAGCTTTATAAACAGTCATTTGTAAAAAAAGATAGATATGTAGGACACTCATCTGTCACTGTGATGTACTTTCCTTCAATGATGCCTAACACAATTTCCAGTCGTTAGAAATGATATTCCAATACACTATGTCTTCTTTGTCAGCCACAGATGGAAATGACCAGATGACTTGTTATTGCCAACTGTGAGAAGACAAATTTACTTGCCTAAACACATACATACACGCACAAAACAACAACAACAACAAAACCCCAACCAACAGTTTTCTCTATGTACTAAAACAGAAAAAGAGGCAATTTAGTACACAGGACACTGAGAACATGGTATGTAGCTACTTGCAAACACTTAAATGAGTTCAACGGAGCTACTCACAGGCATGAAATTAGTCCCATAGTTATGTGCTTGCAAGATTAGGAGTAGTCTTTAATTTTACAGAGAACCAAACTAATATTTATCCAACAAATATGATCTGCTAGTCATTGTAATTAATAAAATTCATCACCATCAAAAGTGAATAAGAAATCAAGGACAACTGCTATTAAAGACCTGAAGCAGCTCCTCTGGAGCCAAGTGGCCTGGAAAGATGCTCTTGCAGCAGAGTCTTCAGCTGCTGAACAAAACAGCAAATTCATTACTCTCTTGGCTGCAGAAGAGGCTAATGCAGGAAATAGTTAGAAATGTGATATCTATAGTGTGATGCCTCAAAAAACCCACAGTAAACACTGGTTTTGAATACAGAAAGTATAAGAGTGACAATTCAATGAGTCCTATTGAAATTTCCAGGGATACAAACTTATTTCACTGCCAGAGAAAAGAAAAGCTTGCAGTAACTTTGGGAAGAGTCCATGGCATGTCCACAGATCATTTTAAACCCTCACAGTTCAACTTGCTTACGGTGCAAATCTGACTGCAAATAATCAGCATCATGGCTAGGCTTCGCGAACGAAGATTTGGGAAGGGCTCTACCCACATTTCTTGCAAGCGCATTGGTGGCTAAAAAGGCCAATACGAGAAAGGCAAGTCCAGTTGCAAAAGGCACAGTAGAAAGACTCCTTAGATGGTATATTCTGCAAGGCACGATTCTTTCTGCGTTGTCTTTTCTCCTCAAGGGTGATCCTGCGTGCTTTCTCAAAAGCATCAGCAGCATTATAGATGGTGTGTCTCCAGGCCTCCCGATTGGAGGCCAGAGTAGACCAGTTATGGTGATCAATATGCCTGAGGCTGAGATGTTGTTTCAGGGAGTCCTTGTATCTTTTCTTCGGGGCTCCTCTCTTGCAACTGCAAATAATGTTGGTCTGCTAAAATCTACGATGGAGATGGTCCTTCCCAAGACCATTGTGAGGAGAACTGAATTTTTGATGTGCCTGAGGGAACAGCTCTTTTCTGAGGGGAAATTAAATGCTCCTGAAGCTCACTGAAATTTGTGAAGACTATAATGGATTCAGTTTCCCCAGAGTGTCAGACAATTGAATTTTCAAGTCTTTTCCTATCAATATATAAAGCTATTGACCACTGAGGAGATGGGGAATATTTCCAACCACAAATGTTAAGATTTCTCTGGAGTCTGCATTGATTTTTATGTATTTTTTAGGAAAAAAAAATATAATACGACTATTTTCTCTGCTCAGCCATAGACAGTATCTTGGTACCTTTAGTTTCCAGGCTGAGAGCTCCCAGCTGCACTACAGGATCACATACCATTTTGCCCTAAGGACCCTTTGGCTTAAGCACAGCAGTAAGGTCAGTCTCCATCCTTTTTGCTTTTTTTTTGTAGAAAGTTCCTGCTCATGTGAATGGAACAGAGGTGCCAATGGGGATGGGAGGGAAGCAGGGTCTCACATTTGCAGACATGACCATTCCCTGTAGCTTACCAAAGGGAATGTATCATCTCTTCTGAAAGAGTCTAATAATGCTGCACCATGTGGCTTTGAATATTAGTCTTACTAACACTGTTTCTTCCTCCAGCAGACAGTATTAAAATATACTCATGGCTGCTCACACTGATTATTACTGCAATAATTTATCCATCCTCAGAAAAAAACCTGTTTTCATCACCACTAGAGCAGTTTCTGAAGGATCATGGCCCTGTAACCAGCTTTTCACAACAGTGGTGGTATAGATACAGCACATGTAAGATTGTTCACATCACCAATTTATACATATGTGACCATTTCAGTGAAACCCTCTATGGAAATCAAGTAACGCAACCAGAACCTTTTCCTCTTCATTTCTCAGTTTTGGCTTTTACCAAAAATCCCCTAGATTATGCTGATGAATGTTTATACTCTGACATTACACTTTCCACCAGCTTGTAGGTCTTCCCCAGTGATGAAGAACAGCTGAATAGTACAGCTCAACAACAGAATGCTTCCCAAGTGCCTGTGCATCACTTGGGATTGACTGCTGGACTACCGCTATGGGGAGAATAGGAGATATGTCTCCCCCAGAAACAGCCATATTATGCTTTTCAACAAGGCATTTCTTTAAAGATAATTTTAGAGCCTGGATATACATCTAATGACAAGAGGGACTGGGTGTAGATACTACTTACTCAGTACTGCGCTGCCACACTTGGTGTTTCTGTCTTGTTCCTTATTTTACAATAATGGTGTCAGAAGATTAATTGAATTACAGTAATACCACTATGAACCCAAAAGATCAGGACAGCATGTGGTTGTCTCCATACAGAGAAAAAGACTTGATTTTTGCTGATTGTGGAAGACTTAATGTTACCACAAAGCCCATCTACTGCAGCAGCCTTTCCACTTCTACCACTGGAGGGTGTGGAAGTTCACACCTCCCACAGCAGGCTGTTTCCAAACGCTAAACTGCAACTCTACCTGAAGACAACCTTTGATTTGCATTTGGAAGGATTTCTGCACAAGCACAAAGCCAGAGAATTACACTGAAACTCCAAGAAAAAATAATAATTAAAAAAATAAAATCCCAAGTATCTCAAGTTCTCGTCTTGTGTTTGCATTTACTAGTCTGAGTTGAGTTAAAGAACAATCTGAGACTAAGTCTGATTTACCAAATTATACACCAGCCTTGTAGGTGGAGGGATGGGCTCTAACTGTGCATCTGCTCTTCCTAAGGCACAATTTACCTCAGGTCAACTGTTGGCTTCAGTTTGTCAGTCTACGGAATATGAAAAATAGTAATTTATGTCAAATCTGCTACTTAAGGTGGTCCAAGAATTAATGGGTAGATGAGAGAAAGTATGGTTTTGTGGGTGACCTCTCCTATGCTTAATTGGAAGGCTGATGCCTGCTCTGTCTGGTTTCCAGAGTTTCTTAATCTATGTTAAAAATAGAGCCTTCAGTTTCCAATTAAGTAAGTCAGAGTATTGATCTCAGCATGAACTGGGTGCACCACATATTAGACTATCCCTCCACATATCTCCTCCCTTGCTTCCCACACGCATGTATTACCTGTTGTCCATAAAAGAATGTATAGGGAGCAGAACCTGTAATGATAGCAAAATACGAATAGGCTTATGTGATGTATTGGATGGGTGAACAAGGCACCTCTCTAGGAGCAGCAGAAAGCATGAACATGCTGTTTTCAGCTATTGATCTATGTGGAGTTGGCAAACAGGGCTAAAACTATACAGCTCAGGGCTACAAGTGCACACAAATATCTGAACTAGCTCTGGAGTAACAGGAAGGTCTTGCCAGAGTAGAACAAAGCAGACAGGGTAGTTTGCCTGGGTGCACATGTAGCACTGAGGGGCAGGTGGTACCTGCCCCTTGAAAGCTGTTTCACTGCAGTCAGACTCTGAGTTATCACTACAAATATCCCAGTGCCAGAGCAAACGTACATGACCACAATTATTTGCAAAAGGACATTTTA